GTTTTGCTGATATAGGCTTAGTTTGTCGTGGGACATCTTACTTCTTCCTTCTCTCTGTCTATACCTGTGTACTCTCATGTTCCGATTAACCCAGCTTCCCCAAATGTCTTTCTTTTTGGTGTCTATATACGCCGGGATCCGGAGTCATGGATGATCCCGCGCTCCTCTGTCCTGGATCGCGAGCCCTGGATCTTGAGTCGTGGCTGTGGTCCTGGATCATAGATCCTGGATGGATATCCTCGTGGATTCATCTTCCTATTATACACACATGCATTTCCAAACATTTGGACTACCTATGTTGCAAATGTATTATCTTTTCAATTTACACACGGCATCTATTGCACGTCTGTCCGTCCTGGGAGAGGGATCCCTCCTCTGTTGCTCTCCCTGAGGTTTCTCCCATTTTTCCCTTTAAACTGTGGGTTTTCTTCGGAAGTTTTTCCTTGTACGATGTGAGGGTCTAAGGACAGAGGGTGTCGTATTGTCATACTGATATTTTGTACAAACTGTAAAGTCCACTGAGACAAATGTAACATTTGTGATATTGGGCTATATAAATAAAACATTTGATTGATTGATTGATTGATTCTGGGACGCTTCTGAGCCGTAACGTGGTGCGTCTGGTGGAATAGCACCCATTGACTAGAGTGGCCGCGATCCTTGCGGACGCCGCGGCGCAGCCGCAAAGCGCCCGTAACGCGCCCGTAACACGCCCGTAACGCGCCCGTAACGCGCCCGTAACGCGCCCGTAACGCGCCCGTAACGCGCCCGTAACGCGCCCGTAACGCGCCCGTAACACGCCGCAGACGAACCCGGTGGAAACTAGGGGTTATACATCCATGGTCTATGCAAGTGGTGCAGTGACGCGTCCTAAAACCCGGAAGTAAGCTGCGCTCGGATTTCCTTGACAGAAAGCAATGGGATTTCTCCATAGGATTTTGGAAAATAGCTCGAAATAAGGTCTGTGGAAAACGAACCTGTTAGATAAATGCACGTTTTGTTCAGCCGGATAATATCCACATGTCTACCCTACTTTTATTATTTTTCGAATCATAAATCTAATCGATAGATTTATGATCGATAGATTTATAATTAGCATAAGTTCGTTCATGATGGCTCACTTCAGTGATAGTGATGAGGGCCTAGGTATAAAAGTCACGGCTCGCCACTGGCATCTGCCAATGCTGTAACCGATGTATGGGCCCTGTGTACAAGTGTTTTTTTTTTACAAGACTTTAAACCTTGCAGAGTTATGAAACAAGAACAAAAACAAGGTTTGAGCTATTTCGTTTTGACTTAAATCCAAACAAAACATGAAAAAGCTTTAAAACTGTCGTTGAACTTTTAGAAAGCTGTAAAGGAAACCCTTAAGTCCACCAGGTTTCTTAGAGATATGGGGAAGGCTTTACTGTACCTCCATGTAAAGTGTGATCATCCACACAGACGTGATGTTTGACCTGGTTGGTGAGTGGGTTTTGCCCAAGGTGCCTCCACAACGTGACATCAGTGACTTCTCTGGCTTTTACCTTCTGTGGCTCTGGAGCGATGAGCACCAAACACCACGTGTATTTCGTTATGCTCAGAGAAACATCTCTGACTTAATGGCACACATTATTCAAGGCTCATCATCATGAAGACAGAAAAGCATGTTCACATGTCGAGGAACGTGCTTTTTTAGGCAGGAGCCATAAGGCACAGGGTTTTTCTGTGCCAGTACCGGGATTCATCACTAAACAAACGTCACTGAGAGCACGGGTATCAGGTCGGGTGTCAACGCGGGGTGATCATCTGTTTCACATTTGTTGCGGTATTTTCTTTCTGATAATGTGTTCTTTGGGTGTTGCAGATGGATGGGTGTAGGGAGGCGGATGATTTCTGAATTATGAAGACCATATGTTAATGAAACATTTGCAGTTTGTATAGACTTGTGTGTCTCAGGTCATTGGTTCTTTTGATTCTGATAACCTTTTACATGGCAAAGTTGTTGTTAAGACATCAGAATGAGGCACCACATTAAATCGTGGTCAATGGAGCAACAACCATGAGTGGGCAGATCACAACAAACCCCAGGTTAGTCAAATTAGTTTGAATGGGAACAAAAAGGTGAACTGGATAAAATGAGAGCCCAGACACTCCATTTCCTATCAATACCAAATGGCAATGTTTGGTAGAAAGGCAGGACCCAAACGCAGTACAAAACAAGAGGTCAAGTAGTTTGACTAAAAGCTAGCTTTAATCCACAAAAAAGCCGATAACAAGGAAAAACTGAAGGCACAAACCTGGGAACGGGAACAAAACCAGGAACGCGAGGTACAGGTGCCCAGGGGAAACCAACAGGAACACGCATGGGAAACCAACGACGATGACCCAACAAGGACCACAAGGGAAGACAAGACCATTTAGACACCAGACTAATCACAAGACAAGACACAAGAGCAACAGGTGAACACAATCAGACTATCACTTGAAGGTAAGACATTTCAAAATAAAACTAAACAGACCGTGACACCAAAACTGTCAGCCAGACTTTGTTGTTCAACTTTGACCTAACATTCTCACCAGTTGTTCCCCAGCTGAAGCATTATTTATATCATCAAATGAGATCATTGTGGGTTTTCTCACTTTGGTTTACAACCTGTATCCTTGTCTGACCACTTTTATTTATTGCCTCAACCGAGCTATTTGTGGGTATGTTTCTTCATTATGTAATCACAACACTGTTGGTCACAATGTATCATAATTAATTAAAGGTCAGAAGGCCTGAGTTACACACATACAACCTGAGTTATATTTAATAGTATTTATTTAAAGTTACAAGACTTTAAATACTACTAAAGTGTGGAGATATTTGAGGAGGCCCAGATGAGCTTCAGCATATGACAGCTTCATGTAGGCCTTATCCCTTTAACACACAGCTATAAATGAAACTTTAAGTGTTCCTCTCTTTGAGAGTAAGTGTTAAAATGCATTTTAAACAGTTCATTGCAATGTCAGAGGTCCTCACAAAAAGGTAGCACTTTGTAAATGTGTGTGTCTCAGATATTGGTAGAACAAGCCTTTAGCAAACAGCTTTATATTTACAAGCCTGCCCATGCATAACATTGGTTTCTCTGTTAAACAAACACAATCAGAGTAGGCAGGACATTTTCTCTTCAGCCTGACTCATTGTGATAAATGAATGCAGACAAAAACGCTGCCTTGACATCCTTGACTGGGATATTTTTCTAAAGCCTTGGATGCATTATGCACAATATTTTAAAGGTTGGTATGTTGGAGAAAATGTCCTTCGCCTCTACAAGACACATCTTCAGCTTGGCGCCACAGCAAACCTTCTCTATGAACCAACCTGCTTCAACATGCTGTAGTTATATCATAACCCAGTTAAATACATCTGCATGTTTAATCCCAGTGACTCCAGTTACACAATGACCATTGTGGCTTTAATGGATTTATGTATTAAAATAAAGGATTACAAGGCAGGGGCATCGGGGGCTGCACCTCCCCTCACCAGAGCTGTGACTGAACAGCGGCCCCAAGTGGGGCACTTTTTTTTTACAGCTTTGGTCAATCATGATCAGTGTAAATGTGATTGGAAACTGCATCAGCTTCAAGATGGGGAAACAGAATAGAAAGGCTTTTACCTCAATTAAACTGCATCAATTATTCAGGCCTGCTAATTAAGTTATTGTTGGAATTCAACCCAACCACAACATCAGGCATTATAAGAAGAATGGTCTGAGATTAATAAGAAGGGAGTGTTTTGATTATATGAAAAATCATAAAAAATGTGTCTGGAAGCTTGTTTACACCCCAAAATGACTCAGGGTTATTCTTGGAAAATAATTGATGTTTCCAGAATATGGTTTGTTAAGCATTCCAGTCATAGCATTCATCCATCAAAAGTTTTCTTCTTAAATGTCTGACTCACGGCCTGGATCATATTCCTCTGGGCTGATGATCTACTGTATCCGTTTCCTGAAAGATGTGATGTTGCTTTTTTTTCAAACACAAGATCAGCGAGATTATAAGGATACGTCATTGCAGTAAATCAAACAACATGCCCATATCCCTCTACCACTGATACAAAGCTAATATGGTTTCATTGAACTTTTTAAATGTAATCTACATCATTTTTATAAACCTGAAAAGACACTAAATGAGTGTTAACAAAGCATCAAACTTGACTAAATCCTCCAACGTATTCCTCCCTTATTAGTCAAATCAGAACTTCTGTATCTCATTAAAATAACAATTTAGCCAAAAAACATGTGATTGAATAGCACTCTTTGAATTTAGATGTCATCTGGTACGATACATATGGTAAACAAAGAGGTGGTCAGGATTGGTTTGAAAAGTTCCTATGGATACTTTTTTTCCCCCTTTATCAAAGCACCATTTCGAAGACTATTAAGTATTGATAATTACATTTATAGCTATGGTTACTTTGCGTCCAAAGCCCGAACCTCAACGTGTTTGACTTTGCTGCCAGAACATTGTCTATGTGAACATGACTACTTTGACCTCTATCTGTCGATCTTCTTCCTCGTGCCTTCCTGTCACTTAGTCAAAGATATCTTTGGCACAACAAAAACCTGTTCAGAAGATCAGTGAGCCTGGCTTCGCTCTGACATTAGAAGCAGTTTTATCCTTCAATCACCAGCGCAGACATACAGGTACACACTGCAGGTTGGGCCCATTGTCATTCAAATGTGAGGCTGGTGATTGAAGCGTTTATCACTCCTAATCGGAGCGTGTAAAGGTATTACTGCTGAGGGAGAGAGCGCCACACCAACTTTGATATGGAAAATCACATCTGTGGGCTCCCAAACAACATTATCTATAGAGAGGTGAATATACCAGGAAAAACATTTCCTGCGATCTGCTGTCTTGGATTAGCTCCATGCATGTTTTCTGTTTTTTCAGATCCTCAAAGAGAGAGCGAAAAGGGCACGAGAGGGGGGGGGGGAGGGAGAAAAATAAAGAGCCGAACACACATCTTGTTAAAAGTAATATTTGTAAGCTTATTATTTTGTTATCATGATCATTGTTATAACCTCTGTTATGGTTTGTTCATTTTACATTTTATTTTCAAGTTCATTTAAAGTCATTCCAGTCGAAAGGTAAACATGATTGTAATTGTTGTTTCCAACACTATTAAATGCTTTTTTTTCTTTTGCCAGACAACATTCGGTCACACACTCTCGCTCATACACACACAGGAAGAGCAGAAACAAAGAGACTATTGCTCACCCATTCATTTGCTCACACACACATGTACACACTGACATCAGCACACACTAACACAGACAGCCTCTGATGCTAAAGCTCTGCACAGAGATGAAGTGATGAACAGAAATAGGCTCTTACTCTCTCTCTCTCACAGACACACACACACTTTCTTATTCTCGTGTCTAAGTTCTTAAGTGCAACTTCTTGAAGAGTTTGTAACCCTCTGCCTCCACACCAGGACCCACAACCCTCCCATCATGAGCCATATATACACCTGGGTCTTTAACACACTAATGTATTGATTTCAATGATGCTCCAAAACTACATGATCAATGTTTTTTTCCAAAGGTATAAACTCTTGTTTGGGGTGACAGGAGCTACATTCATTAAAAAATGTGTGCTCTCCAAAGTTTTGTGGAGAAAAGAATCTAGCTAACTCACAAACCATTGGGGAAGGTTACACAGAACTACTAGCACACTGATGAAAATAAAACGTTATAAGTGGTTCCCAACCTGGTCGACTTAACCCAGACACAAATCTGACGAGTCATGGGATCGTTAAGCAAAAAATTGAAATTCTACCGCACAATATCTGCTATGATTTTGGACTTTTTCTTATGATTTTCCGGTTCTGATTAAGATGACTGGATAATTTGACTTGTTCAAGAAGTATAATCATCTCTTGGTTGAACAGTAGGTCTATTTTTTCTCAGATTTTAAAAATGTCCCTATGTGTGACAGGAAACATTTTACAACATGAGTAAAGTCATCCTTATGTGTATGATTGATGAACTGTCCTTTAAAGGGGTCACTAGAAAAAAAAAAGGGATGGGAACCACAGCCATAAATGATTTGTCAATATTAATATTTCTGGAAATCATACTAACCCAAGATAGCTTAACCTTAAAGTTGACAAAGAGACTCACACAGTGCAGCCCAGGTTTACATATGGCTCAATCCCAAGACAACAACAAATTCAGCACAGCAATTAAAAAATAAGAGATTTAAAAACAAGATTTAAAAAACAACCACAAGGAAAATGAGCTTCAAGTTTGTAAAAATGCTTACAATACATTTCACCTTGGCAAATGTAAAGACATTGTTATTCCATTCTTTGTCCGTTATGACATTTACACGCGTACTTTAACGCCTCACATGCCGGTGGGTGAGCCGGTCAGCTCGCAGTCCATCAAGGTCTTCATCAACACTAAAATCATCTTCACCATCATCATCATCGTTTTTATCAGCTACTATGGTAAGCCATGCCCTACTAGAGTCCATCGTTGGCAGGGTGGGGTAACCATGGTGAATAAGGTGCTAGTTGCTATGGAAACTATTCTGAAGCAACCGACTGGTATAGTTGTTTGAGTTTTGAATCGCCGCAGCTCCCCACCAAAGCACTTGGTTTTATGTACTGTATATTACTTGTTGCTTTAGTTTGTTTTTATTTAAATTTTTGCATTTTCATACGTATAAGATGTACATAATGTGGATGTATTTTCTGACCGTTAGTACCATTTAAAATAGTCTCTCTCAATCTCAAACACACATGTGGCACACTCAGACATATGTTTTCTCTTTCAGGCACACTTAACAATCAAACAGTAACAGAAAACCGTTTACATGTGGCATCTGATGAATGGGTTTACAGAGATGGCATTGGTGGAGCGGACTGCTGCGCCACATTGATCAGTGGAGGGCTGCTTATTGTCCAGGACTGGACCCGCTCATAGATGCCTGTGTGAGGGACTGTCCTTTCTCCTTTGTCCCTGTTCCTCTTGCTCTCCTCAAAACAGCCTGCAGTGTGTTGAGAGGAGGGCAGTATTGCTGCATGTTTCCATGGCTGCTCTGTAGCCATCGTGTTCTTCCTTAACCTCGGTACTTCAAATACAGGACAGAAAAGTGACACAGCAACTTATAACATCAACAAACCCCCCGTGTCAATGGCACATCTACAGTAAATCCCCTCTTGTTTTGTTTGAGTGAATGCTTCATTGTTTAAATGCTCTGTGTTTCCCCAGGACCCCGTCCAGCCCCTTCCATAGAGACGAGCTGATGGTGAACACAGGATGACACGGCAGACACCGGAGATGAAAACTAAAACACTGGCTTCTGGAGTCCCAGGGTGTGTTTATGAAATATCAGCTACTTCGACTAGTCTCCTACACAGGACCTGCTCAGTTCATCAGCTGGTTCCTTTTTTCTTTCGTGGACTGGGAAAAGTCTCCAGCATCAACATCAACAACAACAACAAAAAAGGCAATTTCAGTTCAGTTTTCATTAAATCTATCTGATTCAGTTCATTTGAGTTCAGTTTAATTCTTGTTGCAAGAAACTATGGCAACTAGCTCTAAGGAAGTGTTTCAGCCAATCACATCCAGGGGAAAGTCTTCAAATGGTTTTCAATTGGTTGGGTGGATTTGATGCTTTTTTTTTTTACTAGGATTTCAGCCCGGCCTCTCCTGGTGTATAAATGCTTTGTGTGGTGTGCATGATTCAACAAGCTCAACCTGTGGCTTGTTCAGACACACAAACACACACTCACACAAACACAGTCTATCACACCTGCATCTGTATGCACAGGCTGACTTTACGGTTCAGTTTGTGTCACCGAGTGCCTCAAGGTCTTTCAACTCCACGAAAACCACACACTTCCTCATACACACAGCTGAACACACACACACACACACACACACACACACACACACACACACACACAACACACCACACACACCACACACACACAACACCACACACCACACACACACACACACACACACCACACACACACACACACACACACACGACACACACACACCACACACACACACACACACACACACACACACACAGGTGCGTGAAAACTCTAATTTCTTGCTCCTCTCGCCTTCTGCTCTATTTGTGGTATCTTAACTCTCCTCTCTCTCCTGACTCCCCCCTCCTCCCTCGACTCCCCCACCCGCTGATACTGTACACCCTCCCAAGGCTAGTTGGCATGGTGACACTGATGGGTATGGCCGTTGCTAGGAGATGAAGAGAGCGGCCAGAAGGAGCATCGTCACGGTGAGGAGAAGGCGATCCCTGGACGGGCTGCTTCCGCTGACACTCTTCTCCAGTTTGGGAATGAAAGGGTTATATTCATCTGGAAAAACAGAAATGGAGAGAAAAAAAGAGAATGAAGCAGAGCAATGTCTTCATTTAAAACTCATTACAGTACAAGGAAAGGGAAGATAAGTCTATCTGTGCTTCTTATTGTGGTATAATCTGCTTACACAGCAGGGCTTTTGGTAAAACACTTTTTTAATGAAACTGACTGACTGAAAAAAGGCAGCTTACAGCACAGCTACACACTCCCACTGAAATATAACAAGTCCACTACAAAGACATCAGCAGTGCCATTACAGACTGCTGCAGCTGTTATCAGGAAGTGACACGCTGTTATAACACACTTACATACTTTAACACAGACACACCGTATATAAGGAAACCCCCCTGCATGTACATCTGGCGAATGATGACCTAAAAATAGTATGCAGTCTTTTGTTGCGTTGATGTCTAGTCGTACGAAAAACACCAGACAGTTCTCAGCACGCCAACACTTATGAGACACACGTGCGGCCTGACACACCCTCTGAAGTCAGTTGATTAATGAGACTTGAGGCCAGACAGAAGCACAATGTTCAGTCTGTACACGGGACGGCTGATGCTGATTAGGAGCATTTGTGTTAATGGTGGAGTGGGGAGATTCTCAGTGTTTCCACTCGGTGCCATATCTAGCTTTCCAGCTGCTCTGGGGGTCAGACAGCAGAGTAATGACTGGCTGACACCTGGTTTAAGAGATGGCCTCTTCTGGTATGCTCTGCTGGCGAATCTAATGAGCTCTATGCAGCGGTGGAGCTCAGGTTAAATGCTTTGACCGCTCTGTAACCGAGCAAGCAGCGGGGGGGTCAGGACACTGTTACTGTGGCGCTGAGTGACATAGAAATGTGGTTTTGAAGACACAAAACAGCAGACTGCGGAGCATCTCGCAAGACCGGTTCTAAAGTGTGGCTCTAATCGCCTCATACACACTTACAGTACACACTGTCTCTCACTAGCTGTCACAGATAAACACATCATTATCAGCACGTGTTATTGGTGCGATGTTTGTGCAGGGGCCATGTGACGTGCATCATGACCTTCTGACATGTTCCTGCGCCAAACATCAGTGAGTAAGCTGTGTGTATTTCAGTGTGTGTGTGTGTGTGCGTGTGTGTGTGTTTGGGTGGGTGTGTGTGCACGCATTTGTGCATTCTACATTTTGGAACAGAAAAGCAGACAACATCCGCCTGATAATTAGAAAGCTCAGACACCTAGAGGCGTCTATGAATGTGAATGTGAATGTCATGTTGGCAAGAACAAGGAGATATTTTAGTCTCTGATTGTGTTTGTGAGTATCTGTCCTAGTGTGTGGGGTGTGTGTGTGTGTGTGTGTGTGTGGTGTGTGTGTGTGTGTCAGTAGCTAATTGACTGCAGTGTTTTCTGTATGAGCGTAAGTATAAAACTATATGCATGTAATATAATGTATTTCTTACTTTTCTCACATACAATATTTTTTAATTGGCATTTAGGATCATAAAACATTTTATACAAAACTATATAAATATGGCACTTTAATACCCCAGACACTATTATTTATGTATGTATAATGATAGACCTGGAACCACCTGTATATTGTTACACAATCCATGCCACTCGTAACATAAAATGTGTGAAAATAATTATCTTTAATTGTAGTTGTCAACAGGTTGCAACTATGGAACTATGAACTATGGAACTATGCAACTATGTGGGGATGTTCGACATTAGGATTTGTGGTGTTCCCGAATCAGAATGTCCTCATTTGAGGGTCAATCCAGTGATTAAGTATTGCAACCCCATAAAGTTTGGGAGGATTAGAGACATCATTGATACTATAGTATATATCCTTTATTTAACCAGGTAAAAGACGAATTGAGATTAAAATCTCTTTTCCAAGAGTAACTAGTATCTTTCAATAGCCCCTCCCTGATTGGTTTATAGTCATGTCTTTCAACTTGAGACTTATTAAAGTTCCTGCAGAAACACAAAGGACAGTAGACAACTGTTTAAGATGCTGGGTAGTTCTCCTTGTGACTGGTGGTTAGTCTTTAACATGTAAAATGAGCGGGGTGCTAGTGTTAATTATACAGAAAATTACTAATGGTTAGTCGACAGGCCATTTATTATCAAATAAAAAGCTAGTTTTATGTTTCTGCCCAATGAGATTTTAGAGATAACACCTGAAGATGTCTAGACATCTAACCGGCACATGGTTCATATCAATTATGTTATTACACTGCACCCCCTGGCGACTCTGACTATACCTGTATGGAGGCAAAAAATGAGTAGGCTTTCCATATCAGAATCGTTGATACATGCAGTAGTTAATACATGCAGACAACTTTTTCAGCTCCATGATGCTTTTGGTTTCATTTTTGCATTATGGAATATTCTTGCAAGTCATGCCCTTAATAAGCAACCTAAAAAATATACATACTAAAGGAAGAATAATTTGCCACTACAAGATATACACCTTCCTTTAACAGTAGTTACACGCTTATAAGGATCTGAAGTTGATGACATGTTGTTGAGAGCATTGGGTGTTGATTGTCGGTGGTAATAATATTGCAAGATATAATGCACAAATGTATTTTTGACACTTAAATTATAAATGTTTGCTACATACTGTATACGATTTGAAGACCTTTATATGGGACCTTTCAAAGTATAACTAAAGCATATAACACTTTTTGGATGTAAAGTAATAAATGTAATAAAAGCAGAGGCAACAGTTAGTTGGTGCTGCGCTCTGCCTACTGATAATCAGCCTGATGTTTCAGTGGCAAACTAACCAATCCACACTGTCACTTAACGGAGTGCTAATTAGGACAATAAACCTCATTAAAGATTCTTCTCCGGACCTGATCGTCAGATGCAGTAACCTGAGCCAACAGGGCTGGTAAATGAGTATCCTCCCACTGAAAGACATCAGTAATCACATGGCTGCACGGGGACCTGCTAGCACCATTCCATCTGTGTCGTAAATGAGATCTAAATGAAATCTAATACTAGAGGCCGTATTCAGGAGGGAACCACTGTTGAGCTGCAGACACTGATTGAAAGGGGCAGCGACCAGGAAATAAACTGTGAGCAGTGAAGGGGAGAGAGCCTGCTACATTCAGCTTAGTTGAACATTTTCAGACACGGTAATCAGGCAGATTTGAACGGAGCAGTTTGCGCATTGCCTCGTGTTTGTGTGAACATTGAATACGAGTAATTAAAGCTATGATGTGATGAGTCTAATCGGCAGTCAGAAGGACGAGGGAGGGGAATAGGAAACTGCTCTGCTTCTTTGTTTTCAGTTAATTCCACAGCTCCCTGCTGGCTCCCTCACTTCCTCTTCAACCACTTGAGTTATCCTATTAATTTAATTGGGAACACAGAAGACTACAGGTGAAAATGACCCACAGGAGCCGGGGTAATTTGTGCTCTGCTATTGTTTCAGCAGTTCACTTCATATTAGCAGTATTTTCATGTAGCTCACATTCTTTATTTGTTCAACTGTTCTTTTGTGGAAATAACTTTTTTTCTTTTCCGTATACTCTTCTGTGTAACCTGTAATTTATTCGGCAATGTTTGATTTTCAGTTAAAGGTTATATGTATTCTGTTATTTGACTATATTTTGATACGTGCAGAGAATAAAGTCATGTGCACAATTGGCGTGGAAACGTGATATATATGTAGAGACAAACACAATTATGGGTTACTTTACTTCGATCTGTGATAATGAAAGCTATTATTACATAGCTCACACCACTGTGACAACATTCGTGCATTTGATAACCCTAAGATTAATATCAAACTAAAATGTTAGAAGTGGGAAAAACTTAATTTCACACATCAAATGATGAATAAACTTGGTTTTGGTGGCTTTCCCCTCCACTGCGTTTCTACTTGTGCGCTCGGAGGAAACATGGAGGATGGGAATTAAAGAGCGGGAGGATGAGGAGGGCATGGATGAAGAAGATGGGGTGAGGGGAAAAAAACAAGATGAAAGAATGATGGAGGGAAGAAAAATAAGAGAGGTATCTCCACAAACTCAAACAACATGCTGCCTTGGCCACAGTGATACGTTTTCTTATGACAGTTATGAGAACACACTGATTTATTATGCACTGACACGCATGCGAGCGTGCATATTGACAGAACCATATTTTACAAGCTACCTTGGAGAGGTGTGTGAAAGCAGGACAGGATGATGATTGATCCCCACATGTCTGAATGTGTAACGGGTAGCCAGGCCAAGCTATCTGTGCATGTTGTTATTGTGCTGCTCATAACACTGAGCAGCAAGCACATGATCATCCCAAAGCCTATCACTTATTGATTTACTGCTCTGCTTCCCCCTTAAATCGCTGCCACATTTTATACAGTTCCAGTGCTAACAGATTTAGCATGATTGCCATGATTTCCTCAAGTTTCGTGACCCTGATCAGAGCAACACAAACAAACTAGGGGCACAAGATTTAGAAGTTACAGCAAATCTGATAAATATCTTCTTTTTTGCAACTCACCATGAAACTCTGTGTTCTTTGCATATCCGGGTGAAAATGGTGAGTGTGAGATGAATATGCATGTAGTTGTTTAGCGGGATCAGCAGCCTGCCAAGCCAGCTGGTGCTGTGAAGTTAACTCTGCTGAAGCCGTCTTTTGAAAATGCCACATTTAACTTAAGCTCTTCATTTTGGACTTTTGATGCATTGAACTGGTCTCTCTGCTGTCAAATATGAACGTTTAAAGTGCTGTCAGTATTCAGATAATAAAGCTACAGCATGTTATTCTTTTGTTATTGTCAATAAATCCCATCAAATGACAAGTGTGTAATTTACATCAGGGTTGGTTAGGGAATATTTTTTCCATTTTCATATTTTTGTCCACCCTATATTTAAAGCTTCATCGTGCGTTTGATTACTACAATATGTCTGATAAGTGCCCTCTAATTTTCCAGCTACCATAATAGAAATTGGAGAAGCTTTGAATCACTAAAAATGTTGATTTGCTCATTTATTTCACCGGTATTATGCTGCCCAGACTAACCTGACTTTGTTATTAGGGGACGTTGTCATGGTTGAATGTAGCCTGACAGAAAGCGATTGGAAAGAAAAATAAGCTCTAATTTCTGCCCAAGGACACAATATTGTCTTTAAAAGATACCTACATGCTTATTAATCAAACATAAGGCAGTAAAGGACAGATAAAGATGATATGTTACTGATTAAAATAATGATATTTGTTTAGAGATGCAAATGTAGATGTGACTTAACAAACTAAATATAATTTTTAGATGCTTTAATCGCTGAGCTTTAAAGAAGAATGAACTAATATGTGTGTGACCTGTTCAGGAAGTGCTACAGACACATGGACACACGTCAGTTTATGGGATTTGTTAAAAGTAAGAATAAAACATTAATAATCATTTAACGGCACCTTGAAAAGTGTGTATCATATAATTGCCATGATTTGAGGCTGTTATGATCTGAATGACAAACACGAGTGTATGTCTGTTTTTGTGAATTCAGACAGGCCGGATGTAAGTGCTCCACACTTACTCAACGACTACGTGTGTGCGTGACTCACCACTATCTTCCAGTTTTAGGCCTGGTCTAAGCGTGTAGTCTGGTTCTGTAGGCTCTGGCTCATCATCCACGTCAGAGGCTGAAAGAGAGACACAGAGGTCATTGAGTGAGGCGGCAAAAGAAGGAGGGAGAGGGTGAGAGAGCATGGGTTAAACCACTGCTCCAACCCAAAAGATTTTAATGAGATTCAACCTGACATCTTCAGAGAAACATGTGAGAGAGCAGCAACGCAAAAGGTGCAGGGGTTAAAATAAATACCCCGGAGCAGACAGACTGACAAGCCACAACACAACCAGCAGAACAAGAGGGAGAGAAAAAAAAGGAGAGAGAAAAAGAGGCTGAAAGATGGGAGGTGAAGGGAGGCAGATCAAACTGAAGAGAGGCAGTGTGTGAAAAGGGATGGCGAGCGATGGAGGGGGGTGAAAGGGAGGAGAGGTTAATACTACAGGGCTATGGAAGTTAAAAGGACCGGACAGGCCAGGGATCAAAGTCTGTGTGTGTGAGTGTGTGTGAGTGAGTGTGTGTGAGAGATTGAAGGAAGGCAGGAGAGCGAGATGGAAAGGTTAACACTACATATACACAGACACCCACTGACCGCACACAGCAATAAATGGATTCTGACAGGGGGCGAGGGGGGAGGGCTGAAAGAGGGAGGAATAGAGAGAGGAGGTGAGAAGGGGGGGAGGCGGGGGTGAGGGTCTTCAAAGCTGGAGCTGCTCCTCTCTGCTGCTGTGGATGGGGACTAGGGAGAGAGAGAACAGAGAGTCAGAAAAAGAGAGAGAGAGAGAAGCGGGAAAAAAAAAGAGGAGCAAGAGGGGTTCTGTGCCGCGAGTGAAAATGCTGCAGGGGAAACTCAGCAGGAGTATTAATAGCTCTGCCTGTTTTAGACTGTATTTAGATTATGTATGCATCTGTATGCAGTCAGCGTGTGTGTGTGTGTGTGTGTGTGTGTGTGTGTGTGTGTGTGTGTGTGTGTGTGTGTGTGTGTGTGTGTGTGTGTGTGTGTGTGTGTGTGTGTGTGTGTGTGTGTGTGTGTGGGGAGCCCGTAGCCTGCCAGATGGGTAGAGTGTCCAGATGGATGCAGGTACTGTCTGCAAACACGTCCTAGCATTGCATTATAGGTCAAACACTAATGCTCGCACACACACACATACAATACATACACACACACTCACATACACTTACCCGTGGAGCAGCAGACGTACACTCGTAGTCTCAGACAGCTGCGGCCGTGATGGTGGGTGGGCGTGGCTGTAAAAACACAGAATGCACAAAGATAAAGATGTGTGTTCACATGCGTATAATGCTTTCAGTGGTCTGCTTAAAAAAACAGACAAAAGTTGGGATTTGCTGCTTCACATGTAAACGAGATATCAGAAATAAAACACCGATCCAAACTGGATCAGTGTCGGCGCTGATGCTGACCTCATGAAACATCTATCAGCCAGACGGGACTGTTCCAAAATAAACACAGCTAACATACAATTTTACACATAACATCAAACGTTCTCTACATCGCTGCGCTTGGGTTATTTTGTACTATTGCAAGAAGCACTGGACAACAAGCTACAATTATACAGCAACTGTTTGTGACTTACAACTGCCTTTCCTAAAAATAGGCCTGCATTTATTGTACACATTACTGCAGAGTGAAATGAGCACTCTGTGTATGGCAGGAAAGAAGCATTCAGTTCTAGTTTCTCCAACCCGAAAACAGCAACTGTGGTAACTGTAAGTTCACAAGGTGTTTTTATTGGAGGTTACTAAATGCAGCAGAGTAATGGCACAGAAATTCGAAATGACAGCTTTGAGACAACTTTTGTGTTTTGAACACAGCACATTTCAGCAAAAATAAATCATCAAATTTGATAGTTTGAGCGACTTCTGATATATTATAGAAAATATTGTATTCTATAATATATCATAATTAAAACTATGTATTATAAAGATAACATGTTCCTCTACAGAGAGGACAGGAAAAGCCTCATTCCTGGTATTGTGCATTCTGTCTTACTGTCAAAAAAGTGAAATTGTCTTTAATACAAAAATATATAACCAACCAAATGTCCCATTATGACTGAATATTAGAATTTGAATATATTACATGGTAATTGAAAAAATAAAGGCATTTTGAGGTTTTTCAAAAACAAGCCTGCATAAAACCAAACAAACATGAGTTGTGTCTCGATCAGCTTTCTTATTACCGAATTGCAGAAACAAAAGGTTTTTAGAAACGTCTCCTTCAAGTAATGTAGGTTAAGAGTGCAGCACTCTATCTTAAACATTAATTTTTATAATGCATTCTTCTAAACGCTAAAAACGCATTATTTTTACTTTGACATATTGCCACGAAGTGTTGTTATTTTGATTAACAATCTGCAGGGTCATTTGATCAGATGTGAAACAACAATTTGTTACACTGAAATTACCTAAGGAGGGTCTTAACTGAGTTAATCGTTAAATCCACTCAAAATCCCCAAAATAATTACAGTGTGTGTTTGTCACATTATGGCTCTAGTCTCACAAGCTTTTACTGTAATTAATATATTTTACTTTCCACTTCAAGACAGCTTCATATTGATACGTTTCATCATGATATTGGTTTCACTCACAGATGTAGTAGTACTCCTGTCCAACGTGGAACTCGTATCCCAGCGAGAAGGCACTGTAGCGCTGGAACTTCTCGGAGAACTTGATGGGTGCGTGGGGGGCGTGGGGCCGGTTGCACTCCCACCTCTTGAAGCCCAGCTGGGGGTCGCAGTTCCTGTAACCGCGGTAACTGACCATGTAGAGGATGTACTGCTCGCCGGTGCCCACCATGCGCTGGCTGTCGTTGTAATGAGGGCAGTAGATGTCCAGGTAGTCGTTGACGTTCACCTGCATCGTGTAGCCCTCCCTACGCAGACTGGACACACAGAGAGAGGGCAAACAGTCAGAATTCATATAAACACAGCGCTGCAGAATATACATTTTGTATCATTACAATCATTTTTACAACCATTGAAAGTGTTTCATTTAGACATTAAAAATAATTGCATTTTCTATTAATTTTTAACAGGCCATTTTGAATTAACTAGAGTCGACAGATCATAATTGGACATGTTCTTGATTGTTTCCCCCCTCGGATAATCATTAAATGTTTGTGCAATTTGAGAGGAAATAACAGTTTTTTGCCTGTCAGGCAGATTTTAAGTATTATGTCTAAACTGCCCCTGGATACTAATAATATGTATCAGCCTTAGTGAATAACAATAAATATAATTTATATTGCCAAAACATGCATTGAATGCAGCTCATAGTTCTTAGCACACAGAGCAATTAAAGTAATTAAGATGTACAACACGCATTATAAATTACAATGTTTGTATGTGCAAAACATGATTATGTTTTTTCATAGAATGGGGTTCTACAATGAACAATATAATTAAAAATGTGTCACTACTACACACATAACACACAATATTTTGAGTAAATAATGGAACAACGAGTAGTGCAATCTAATTGTAGCTGCACTTTTTGTTTCATTTTATAGCAGTTAGCATTTAACATGAATGCTTATTGTCACCTATTTCCAAACGATGTGTGGAATATTTAATATTTTTACATACCCAGATTGTTTTAGCCTTAACCAAACACTCACATAACTCACTGCAGAGACATCATAACATGTCAGCGTAAGGCATACTGTGTTTCGGATGCATGCGTTTTAGCTTGAATGTTCACCCGGGGTCAAATAAATCTTTACTTGAGAGTTATTGAGTTATTAATAACACAAAGAAAGCAGGTGTGTGTGAAAGAGTGTGTGTATTTGTGGCTGCAGGGCTGCTGCATGCGGAGAATGCGGAGCTGGCTCTTCAGTACGGGCCGAGGGCCCCAGGGCCGCCGCTCCTACCTCTGGTGTCAGCGCAGTGCTGTCTCCTAACCCCAGCGCTCGTACATCAACCTGAGCACAACATTGCGCTCACGTCAGACGTCAACATCCTCGCCACGTCCCCCCCCCCAAAGCTCATAAATCAGCCCCAAAAAAAATCTCGTCTTGACAGGAAGATAAGGTCTGAACCTGTCTCTGCGAGTGTATGAGTGTGTGTAGTGTAGTGTGTATGACAAAGTGAAATAGATTTAGATTTGTTTCTGACATCCCAGACCTTTTTTTTCTCCCCATCACAGACACAGGCCTATATCTGTGTGACAAAGACAGGTTGCAGTTGTAAATCATACACACGCTGATGAGCATGTGAGCACACACACACGCTCATATGTTAAAGTGGTGACATCATAAAATCACAAGGGGGCAGCAGTGTGTCATCCTCACTCTGATGCTGCCTCTCTTCCTCTTTGCCAATTCTAGGTCATGTCTCAAGGGGGATTATTATTCAATTATTAAATGAAGATCGAAACACTGTTTCCAATGTGTCCCTCTCTCCATCACTCCTTAACGCTCTCTTCAAATCCTGCATGAATTTGTCTTTCTCCCCCTCCTCTCCATTTCTCTCATCCCTATCGCTCAGACTAACATGAAGGGAAGATTAATTGTTCAACATTCATCCTTTGCTCTCGTTCTCCTCTCCTCTCTGTTCTTCACTTTCTCTCATTACATCATTTAACTAGCCTACAGAGGGTATTAGTGGTAGAAAAAAGGGGGAAATGCTTCAAGGGAACTATATTTATAGTGAATGCAAAAAAAAGGGAGAGAGAAAGAACACGAGTGAGGGATGAGTTTAGTTCCACCAGGGAGGCGTGAATGCAAATTGAGTAAAAAAGAGAGAGCCAGAATGGAGAAGAGAGAAAAAAAGAGGCGGTGGGAGAGTTTTACGCTACCAAAGAAAAGCAAGTTCTCTGAGATGAAGGGATAATGGTGGAAAAAAGAGAGAAAAATGAGGGGGAGGGCAACTCCGAGCATCTTGAGTAATCTGAAAGTAAATCACTTCTCTAAGATAAAAGCTGGCGTTAGGATTCCCACTGTGCATGTGTGTGTATTTGTGCTTGTGCGCCTGCTTTGGTTTGTGTATGCATCTCTGTGTGAGATATCAAAGCATCTCATCTGCCGACATTTCATATTTGAGGTGGTGACATCTATAGGTGTGAACACACGTAGAACACTAAAGAGGGAGGTCATTTAGAACAAGTGTGTCTTAACAGTGAGTCTGTGTCATGTAAAAGGAGCGGTGGGAATCCTTGGACTTTAAAACAATCTGAATGAATTTAAAAGCATGATATAAGTCATACATTTACATGGACACAATAAATGTGCCTTGGGGAATAATCCTGTACACCGTAATGCAATACTTGACTTTGTGCGCACTTGTGACAAACTGGGTTTTAGTAGCAAGTGGCATATTAATGTTTCCAATAATCGTTGTTCTTTTGTTCAGTGATGTAGCAAATAACGTTTTTCTACGTGGATTGTTGCACTTATAGTACTTGAACAGGGACATCATTAATGGTATTAGAAACATCTATGATTTTTTTTTAATGCTATGACAAGTCTATAGTAAATGTATGTTGGTGAGAAAGCTGGTTAAAAAAAATTACTGTATATTTAAAATGTAATAAAACCAACCAATTGCACTAAATCCACACACATTGTACTGAAATATATCCAGTTGGTGGGATATTTAAGACGTTTTTAAGGTTTTGCAAACACTTCTGCTTCCAGAAGACCAAAACAACAGGAGGTGTCTCTTGGGAGTGAATCACTGATTATGGATTTGAAGAACAAAAAAAGTTCCTAGAAATGTCTCCAATCAAGAAATGCGTGTTAAATGAGTGCTGCAAACGTTAAAAAGCTATTTAATTTCATGAGACATTCATCCTTAGCCTGAAATGTTTGTTTTTAAATTGTTTCAAGACAACGACATTTTCATTATTTATACTGTGTCATGTTAGTGCAAGGTGTTAATTTAATCAGCAACCAACAAAATGGATGATATGATTAGAAGTGAAACAGCAATTTGTTAACCTGAAATTGCCTGAGGATGGATTGGTTTAATTGAAAGTAAAGCATTATGTTATGAGTAAACAAAAAAACAACAACCCTGGTATTGTCGGTACTTGGATATATTTGTATTCAAGTAAAGTATGTTTTACTGCACAGACATTGTATTGTCTTGTATTTCATTTGATATGATTTTGTACTGGTCAGACAGTGTCAACATGATTTTCTATCAACCACTTTGCTACATGTGCTGATGTGTACAAGTTGATTTAAATAATGTACTGAATTGTTTTATACAACCGATTCAAAAATCCATAAACTGTCTTCGCTATGACTCACACTTAAAGGTGGGGTAGGTAAGTTTGAGAAACCGGCACGAGATACACTTTTTGTTATATTCCATGGAATGCTCTTAACATCCCGATAGCAATGAATATCTGAAGTGCTTTGACAAAAAATCCATAAAAAAATGTCATCTGTAGAAGCCGTAGTACTGTAAAAAGCACGACCAATCATTTTAGTCGGCCCGGCTAAAACAACTGGATGGCCTACCTGCCTGTCAGCCCGAGGGGCTCTGTAAGGAAGTGGCAGATTTTTTCCGGCTGTGTATTTTAAAATTCTAGCACACTCGAGCTGGTTTCTCCAAAATTACCTACCCCACCTTTAAGTGAAGCAATCGGCTATAAACTGTGTGTTGGGAATGTGCCCTTTCCTTTGTGCAAAGTTGGTGTGACAGCCCCACACCAGTCACGATCATATTCTTCTTGCTTTAAGACGTAAGAGAATACAATACATATTTAAATTTTAAAACAGCTTTACATAAAAGTGTACTTGAAAATCCACTCCGACTGAAGATAAGAGTTTATTAGATAGTATTTCTCTTTTCAATTTCAAACCAAAACAGACGGACACAACGAAACAGATAGTAACAGGTTGAGAAGCTTGTATGGTGTGTTGCTTTCCTGTGCTCTCTCCTGATGCCTCCCTTTCATTTTGTGTCGTGTCCCTCGATCGCGACACCTGGTTAGTTGAAGCTGATAGCGAGAGCTGAGAGACGGAGCGGGACGCTTCATCGACAATAACAAATCTGACGAGCACAGCAGAGGCCACGATGAGCAAAAGAACACTTATATCTACAGATCCACCAGGGGACGGAGCGATGGAAGGATGGAAAGAAAGATGGGAGGGTTTATAAGATGAGACGAGGGGTAGTCGGGGTTAAAAGCTGCAGAGTCTGGCCACCAGGGAGCGGAGGATGATAGCGCGAGGGAGCAACAGCTAAGAGCAAGATCAAAGTGGGCCTGGATCAATGTCACTACTGTAAAATCACATCAGAGAGTGTGTGAGAGGGAGTATGTTGCCTATAAATCAGTCATGGGCAACATAATGCCACAGCGTTAACCCCTGCCTGCCTGTCATCTGGCTGGCCTGTTGGAGAACTGTACATCGATAAAACACTTTGACAGTAAGAGCAATCATTCCTTTTTGTAACCAGAGCTTAGAGTACCAACTAACTCTGCTGTGGGTAAGATGGCAGACTTTGAGGAAAAGGAGAGGTTGGAGGATTATAGCATGGAGTTACGCTGAAAACACACAATGTTTCTGCAACAAAGGGAAATTGGCCAATGGAGTTGGGAATGCTGGCTCACTGCCTAACGAACACAGACACTTGAATAAAACACAGGCACCATTAATGTTGTTAGTGACTTCTGTAGTGACTTAATACTAAGACGAGTTAATATGAAAAAGATCCTTTACTTAATTTTTCATAATAAAGACCCACAAGCATATGTTGAAAGAAAGTAGTTAAAGCAAAATAACCTTCATCAGGTAGCAAGCCTCACAACAGTTTCACATATCAATGCTAGTTGACGAGTGGGCTTTTATTTGCCTTTTTTGTAACTGTAGGAATCCGATTTATGATTAATTTTGGCAATTTTCAAGATATTTCCCTTCATTTATTAACCAAT